AATAAACCCTGAGCTTAAATGAAGTTCTGGGCTGCATCTCCAGTTCAAATTGGAAAATAATTTTCAAATTTGCTGAAAACTAGACTTTTAAAAATTTGTGCTTATTGCAGCTTATAGATCATATCCTCTTGGGATTGTTAGACCTGAAAATTCTGATTTCTTCAGAATAACCCAACAGAATAAAGATGGGACATATTCATTGAATTAGTAAAGCATTTTTGCATGTATTGAATCACCCTTGTGACCCGAGAATAAATCCATCTTGATTGTGGTATATAATCCTTTTTATGTATTGTTGGCTTTGATTTGCTAATATTTTGTTGAGGATGTTTACATCTGTATGCATTAAAGATATTGGCCTGTAATTTTCTTTCTTTTTTTTTTTTTTGGTAATGTATTTGGTTTGAGTAACATAGTAATGGCCTTGAAAGTGAATTTGGAAATATTCCTTCCTCTACAATTTTTTTGAATGTGTGAGAAGGAAGGTGTAAGTTCTTCTTTATATATTTGGCAGAATTGCCCTGTGAAGCTGTCTGTTCCTAAACTTTTGTTTTCTGGGATATTTTCTTATTACAGATTTGATTTAGCTTCTAATGATCAATCTGTTCAAATTGTCTGTTTCTTCTTGACTCCTTCTTAATAGGCCATGTATTTCTTCTAGGTTGTTCATTTTATAGGCAAATAGTTGTTCATAGTAATCTCTTATGACCCTTTGTATTCCTGTGGTATTGGTTCTAGATTCTCCTTTTTCATTTCTGATTTTACTGATTTTGACTTTCTTTTTTTCTTGATGAATCGTATTAGAGGTTTATCAATTTTATTTTTTCAAAAAACTAGCTCTTGATTTCATTGATATTTTCATTTTTTTGTCTGTTTTATTTATTTCCTCCCTTTGTTATTTTTTTCCTTCTGCTGGCTTTTGGCTTTGTTCTTTTTCTAATTCTTTTAGGTGGTAGATTAGGTTGTTTTGAGATTTTTCTTTCCTTGTTTTTTGAGTAAGGCCTGTATCACTGTGAACTTTCCTTTTAGAACCACTTATGCTGCATCCCATAGATTTTTGGAAGTTGTGTTTTCACTGTTGTCCGTCTCAAGGTATTTTCTGATTTCCTCTTTGACCCATTGATTTTTTAGTAGCATGTTGTTTAGTCTCCTTGTGGTCATTTGCAAGTCTGATCATTGCAAGTTTTTCCATTTGTCTTTCTGTGGTTGATTTATAGTTTCGTATCGCTGTGATCCAAAAATTACTGTGGTCTTAAATTTGTTGAGGTTTGTTTGGTGTACCAGTATGTGGTCAATCCTAGAAAATATTCCATACATACTTTAAAAGACTGTGTATTCTTTTATGTTTTTTGGGTGTAGCCTCGTATAGATATCAATTCAGTCCAACTATTCTATTGTTTCATTTAGCATCTCTGTTGCCTTATTGATTTTATGTCTGAAAAAGCTGTCCATTGTCAGAGAAGTATTAAAGTCTCCTTTTATAATTGTATTCCTGTCAATTTTTCCATTTATTGTCTGTATTTGTTTTGCTCCTATGTTGGGTGCATGTATATTAATGAGTATAATATCCTCTTTTTGTATTGATCACTTTATATTATATAATGCCTTCTTCATCTTTCATTATAGCCTTCCTTTTAAAGTCTATTTTGACTGATGTGAGTATTGCTATTCCTATTTTCTTGTTGTTTCTGTTTGCATGAAATATCTTTTTCCACCCCCTCACTTTCAGTCTGCGTGGGTCTTTCACCCTGAAGTGAGTCTCTTATGGATAGCAGATTGGGGGATCTTGGTTTTTAATCCAGTCTGTCATCCTACATCTATTGTTTGGAATATTTATTTTATTGATATTTAAACTAATTATTGATAAGTATATACTTATTACCATTTTATTTCTTGTTTTCCTGTTGTTTTTGTAATTCTTCTCTGTTTCCCTCGTTGTGGTTTAACAGTTTTCTTTTGTAGTACGCTTGAGTTCCTTTCTTTTCTGTTTTTGTGTATCTATTGTAAGTTTCTGATTTGTGGTTACCATCAAGTTCATATATATTGACCCATAAATTGTATCTACTTGCTTTAAATGGATTATCATTTAAGTTCAGACACATTCTAAAGGATCTACATTCTTTACTCCCCTCCCCTACATCTTGTGTTTGGAGTGTTATATTTTACATCTTCATGCTTATTATCCTTTTACTCCTGATTATAGTTACTGTTGTTGTTTAGTCACTAAGTCATGTTCGATTTGTTTGCAACTACATGGACTGGAGCCCACAAGGTGCCTCTGTTCATGGGATTTCCCAGGCAAGAATACTGGAGTGGGTTGCCATTTCCTCCTCCAGAGGATCTTCCTGACCCAGGGATTGAACCCAGGTCTCCTGCATTTTTAGATTTGGGAATTTTTTATTCATAATTTCTTCAAATACATTTTTGATCCCCTTCTCTCTCTTTTCTCCTTCTGGAACCCCTATAGTGTGAATGTTGGCACATTTTACATCATCCTATAGATCTCTTACGTTGCTTTCTTTTTATTTGTCTCTCTGTTTGCCATTCTGATTGGGTGATTTTCATTACTGTATCTTCCAGATCACTTATGCATTCTTCTGTGTCATTTAGTCTGCCATACATTGCTTTTAGAGTGCTTTTTATCTCAGAAATTGAATTATCTGTTTTTGATTGGGTCTTCTATACAGTTTCTAGTTCCTTATTAGAATGATCTGGGCTTATAAAAATCCTTTCTTAATTCATAAGTATTTTATTAACGACTTTTAACACTCGTTGTTTGGTAGACTGATTATCTTTCATCTATTTTTTCAGGGGCTTTTCTCTTGCTCTTTCAGTTGAGAATATTTCCTCCACCTTTTCATTTTCTTAACTTTCTCTGTCTCTGTGAATAGAGGTGAAACAGTCATCTACTGTGGTGTTTTTATGTGGGAGCATCTCTGTGTAGACTGCATGTGCCCAGTGTCTTTTGTACAAGCAATTTTATGTGAATGCCAGCCACGTCCTTCCTCGGGTGTGCTGGTCACTATCACCTTGATAGGGGGTGTGGCTTGTGTTGAAGGAGCTAAAACCTGCCCAAGCTGTGAGGTAGGATTTCCTCTCTGCTCAGTGGCTTCACCCTCTTATCGGAAGCAGGGTCTGTTCCCAAGTTGCTGTAGTGGTAGCCTTGAAGGCTGAGCAGGTTTTGTTCCTTTTAAGTGTATTTTTCCTTCTCCCCACACTGGGGCCTTGCCCTTTGCCCCAGAGGAAGGGAGCGTTGAAGCATGTGGGGCTTATGTGCTTACAGAGGTCCAGGGTGCTTTCTGTGTGTGTGTCTGCACCTCCACTCACACACAGCCCATGTGTGGTTGTCCCAGATCTACTACAAGGTTGTGACATGAAGTCTGCAGGGCCTGAGCGTTTGCTCTACCAGGACTGGAGGTCGCAGCATTGCAGTTGCAGGAATTGAAACAGCTATGCCATAGTCAAAAGGCTGGGCTACTTCCATGGTGCTGTTGAGTGAGTGGCAGAGTGGCTGCCACGGCCCCACCTGAATCACCTCCCCGGGCACCTCTGCATCTCTAGATTAAGTCTTTTCTCAGGACCTGGCTGTCCCACATCCAGTGTAAAGCTAGGGCATGGAATGGGCAGGACTGGAGCATCAGCTGGAACTGGGAATGGCCATGTTGGGGGTGAGGGGGGGATCTTTCTTGCAGCCTTGGTTGTTTTCTTCCAGATTTCTGCCAGTTTCCAGTTAGTTTTCTGTGAGAACTGTTTCACATATAGGTATATTTTTGATATGTTTATAGTAGGAGGTGAGCTCCATGTCTACTTCGCCATCTCCTGACTCCTCTCCACTTTTGGCATTTTGAAACTTAAACTTTGATTCTTCTCTGCATACAATAAGCTTTGGCATATCCATATTATGAAGTACAATAGTTCCATTAAAATCACATCCTAAACAAAAACTTTCTGACATAGAGATATCCCCACAAAAGAAGGTGAAAATTTTATATACCTTTTCTTAAATTTATTTTTTAATTGGAGGAAGATTGCTTTATAATGTTGTGTTGGTCTCTGTAGTACAACAGTGTAAACCAGCCATAATTATACACATATCCCCTCCCTTCTGAGCCTCTCTCCCCTCCCCCCATGTATACCTTTTGTAACTTGCTTTTCCTCCTTAAATTTAGTGAGTATTTTTCCACTTCACTCAATATTTTTCTGGAAAATGATTTTTATTAGCAGGATAGTATTTTATAACTTGAATAAACTTTAGTTTGCTTAAGAAATTTCTTACATTTTCAACATTTCCAATTAAAGAATGCCTCACAAATTTTATATAATCTTATTGTAACATTAGAGTAAATTCTTTAATTCTTGCTCTTCTACTTCTAAAATTATATTAAGAGCCTTAACATACTCTCTGGCAGAAAGATTGTTCTAATTTATGCTACAAATCAGCAACATAGAGGTATTGTTCACCATATTAACCAACACTGAATATCATCATAATTTTTAGTCTTATAGACTAGATAAAATCCCCCCAAAATGCAAATATTTCTTCAGTTCAGTTCAGTCACTCAGTCATGTTAGACTCTTTGCGACTCCATGGACTGCAGCACGCCAGGCTTCCCTGTCCATCACCAATTCCCAGAGCCTACTCAAACTCATGTCCATCGCGTTGGTGATGCCATCCAACCATCTCATCCTCTGTCACCCCCTTCTCCTCCTGCCTTCAATCTTTCCCAGCATCAGGGTCTTTTCCAATGAGTCACTTTTTCACATCAGGTGGCCAAAGTATTAGAGTTTCAGCTTCAGCATCAGTCCTTCCAATGAATATTCAGGACTGATTTCCTTTAAGATTGACTGGTTGGGTCTCCTTGCAATTTCCTCTTATGTTTTCCTATTTTTTGTTGTCTTTTTGTTCCTTGGGCACAAGAGGCCTTTCTTGTGCCCGAGGAAGGATATATAGGTAGATACACCATTCAGAGTTATAAAGGGACACAAAAAGCATACTTAGCTTGGATTTTTAAGAAATATATAATAAAATGATTATTTACAGAGATGTGGGCAGGGCTGAGGGACCAACAAAAATGTTGAGGCACTGTGATATTGGGATTTCTAGTAAGAAACATATATTCCATCTTGGACTCCATTTCTGTCACAGAGCTTCTAAAATCCTTGGAGTTTCCTAAGTAGAGAGAAAGAAAAAAGACATTTTTTGTTATGTTAAGAGTGACCTTTGGAAAGCCCCTAGGTGACCTAAGGATGAGGGTTCGTTGCCAGAAGAGCCAATCATGTGGTTAGAGGTTTGGAAAACTTTCAGTCCTCATCCTTGGGAGAGAAAAGGAACTAGAAACTGAATTCAATTACCTATGGCCAAGGATTTGATCAATCATGCCTATGTAATGAAACCTCCATAAAAACTCAAAAGGAGGTGGTTCATAGCATTTCCATGTTGGTGGACAATTCGAGGAGAGAGGCCCCCAGAGAAAGTATGAAAACTCTTCCCACTTTCTCTGTATCTTGTCCTTTGCATCTCTTCCACCTGCCTCTTCCTGAGTTTATACTATATATTACAATAAACTAGTAATCTACTAAGTATAAATAAAATGTTTCTCTGAGTTCTCTCAGCCAGTCTAGCAAATTAGTCCAATACAAGAAAGGGGCTATTAAAACTGCAGATCTATATAGCCAGTTGATTAGAAATACAGGTGATAAGCTGGGCGTGCAACTGATGTCTGAAGTTGGGGTTAGAGGAGCAATCTTGTCAGACTGAACCCTTAACCTGCAGGATCTAAGGGTAGATAGTGTCAGAATTGAGATGAGTTTTAGCATACTCAGCTGGTATAACAGAATTGCTTGGTGATATGGGAAAAACTGCCACACATCAGAATTGATACACATTTATAGGCACCCGGAGAACAGTAACAATGGGAAGTCATTACCCCCTTGATCCTAAAGGAACAGGGGAAAGAAAACAGAACTACCAATGTGGGCTGGAGCCAGAGGAGAAAAGGCAGTCTCATCAGGGCTGCTGACAGAGGGAGGCAATCCCAGCCACAACCTGGAATCAAAATAGCAAGAGGCAGGGAATAAAATACTTCAATCTGCCTGTCTTTCTGCAGGCTGCTGTCTTGTTGGTGCCTTCAGCTGGGTAAATTGAACTTGAAATCAGAGAGTAGTGCCCTGAGGGCACAGAACAGGGCAGAGAAAGACAAGAGAAAAATAGAATAACCAACACAGTGTTGGTTGGATACTTTTGGCATTTTTTGTTTTTTACATTTAGTACTTCTATTTTATTTTTACATTCAGTACTTCTAAAATTCATTTGTAATTTTTCTTTTGATTGTAGTGTATCATAGGAATAAGCTTTTTATTTAATTTTTATAGATACCTATATAGTTATCTTAGGTACATATGCTGTATCATATTCCTATTCATTTTATCAACTGCCATTATCAAACTAAACTTTTACAGTGGGGTTCTTTTCAGTGTTTCCTGTTCTGTTCCACTGATTCATTTATTCTTGTGCAATAACACAGTAGCAGGACATTATTGTAGCATGACAGTATGTTTTAACGCTAGGTACAGCAGATCCCAAGTGTTCTTCAGTTCTGATGAAAATTATTAGGAAAAAGTAGCTTTGAAAACTAGGGGGAAATGTCAAATATAAAAACCTTAGTTATTCAGCTATGTTTTGAAATGGATATTGCTATGTGATATGGGCAAGTTTTCATTCTCTACTATGGAATCTCAATATATATTACTAGATAATAGAAGGAAGTTTTTGTTTCATTATATTCATTATTTTGGCATATTTTTTAGGTTCCACATACACATGATAATATACAGTACTTTTCCTTCTCTGACTTATTTCACTAAGTACAATATTTACCATGTCCACACATGTTGCATATTGCAAAATTTCATTCTTTTTTTTAATGGCTGATTGGTATTCCATTGTGTTCATATATTGCAACTTCTTTATCCTCTCATTTGTTGACTGACACTTAAGTGACTTCCGTATCTTTGCTGTTGTAAATAACGCTGCTACGAACATTAGGGTGCATATATCTTTTCAAATTAGTGTTTTGTTTTGGTCAAATATATACCCAGGAGTGGAACTGCTGTATCATATGGTAATTCTATTTTGGTTTTTTTGAGGAACATCTGTTTTTCTACAGTAGCTGTGCCAATTTACATTCCCACCAACAGTGGACACATCCTCGCCAACATTTGTTATTTGCAGTCTTTTTGATGAGAGAGTCTCTGACAAGTGTGAGGTGACATCTCATTGTTTTGATTTGCATTTCCATGATATTAGCAATGTTAATTATCTTTTCATGTGCCCGTTAGTCATCTGTATGTCTTCTTTGGAAAAATATCTATTCAGGTCTTCTGCCCATTTTTAACTGGGTTGTTTGAGTTTGTTTTGTTTGTTTGTTTTTATGTTGAGTTGCATGAGCTGTTTATACATTTTGGATATTAACCCCTTAGTAGTTGTATCATTTGCAGATATTTTCTCCCATTTAATAGATTGTCTGTTCATTTTGTTGATGATTTCCTTTGCTGTGCAAAAGCTTTTACATTTAATTAGGTCCCATTTGTTTATTTTTGCTTTTGTTTCCTTTGCCTTAGGAGATTATTCATATATATTCTCAAATAGAAAACATACACATATATTATTTTCAAGTATACATAATGCATTTAAGAAAAATTACTACATACCAGGTCATAGAGAAAATCTCAACAAATTACCAAGAATGGTATTCTAGAAGCCATTTTATATTACCTCAATATATTTTTTGTATTTGTCCTTGAAGTTAGAAAACACTAATAAACAGGATTTTGTAAATATATACATGCAAATATACATGCTCTTATATAGTATACAATGCTGAGGAAACATAAAAGAAAATAGTTACTTAGAATAATTTATTTAGTTACTTAGAATTCTTCATTTTTCAAATTTAAAATACTGTTCTGTTATTTTGTGGAGAACATCTAGCCAACTCAATTGCTAAAACAGAGTTATTTTCAAATTATGTCTAAGCTATAAATCAGTATATTGAACCAACATTTTAATTCTTGTTTCCAGCTAATTATTTGAGAGCCTTTGAAGAGAACAGAGGTTACTACTGAAAAGCATTTTTTTGTTTAGTTTTAGTTTAGTTGCTAAGTCATGTCTAACCCTTTGTGACTCATGGACTGTAGCCCACCAGGCTCCTCCCCCAGGTGATTTCCCAGGCAAGAAAACCAGAGTTGGTTGCCATTTCCTTCTCCCGGGGCTCTTCCTGACCCAGGGATCAAACCTGCATCTCTTGCATTGACAACTAAATTCTTTGCCGCTCAGCCACCAGGGAAACCATATTTTTGTTAAGCTTGTGTAAATGATTATTAGGTATTTTGGATCTTTTTTTTTTTACCTGAAGTTGTTGTATTTTTTAAAAATCCTTCTTCAGATGTGCTAAGACCATTAATAGCAATTTCCAGATAATCACAAGTAGGTGAGAAATAAGGTAAGGGCAGTCAGTGGGATAAAAATCTCCATTGATTTTTGGACTTCCAAAATCTTGGAGAAGTTTAAGAGGACTTACACTGCAGATTAAAAATTAGATCAAAATATGAGGTGATCCAGTGATTAAGATACTATGCCTCCACTGCAGGGGGGATGGGTTCTATCCCTGGTTGGGGAACTAAGATCCTGCATGCCAAGTAGTAGGGTCAAAAAATACAAACAGGCAAACAAAAAAACCAAAAGAACAAATATATATAGATAACAAATATACATATTATATAATATATATAAATTATATATCATATGGAGATGTATGTCTTTTGGGATATATAATATACATTAATTAAATTAATTTATATATTATATAATTTATGTATTATACATATTATATATATAAAATATCACCATATATATTATACATATATAATATGTATAACATCATCACCTATATATTATATATGGTAATGTTATAATAATATTGTATATCATATACAATAATATAATAACATACAATACATAATAATATTATATATGATATGTAGTATTATATGTAAGGTCATGTTAGAGTTTATAATTTGAAGTCAGTGTAGCTGCTATAAGACTCTGATTTGCCTGGCACCCTCTTCCTACAGCTCTGGGTCTGAGATTGTTGTGAATACAAACCCTGTGTACCTTCTGGCCTGCCTTCTTTTTTTTGCGGCTGCCGCCTGCCTCCCAAGCCAGGCTGCTGCCACCTTTGCCAGAGCCTCTGCTAAGCTTCCTCAGGTGGCCGCTGTTCAGGCGGAAGCCCCGAATCTGCACTTTTCTCCCTGACTGAGCTCTAGCCAGGCTGCGTCGTCCTTCTGCCCCCAGAATGGATGAAATGTCACCCTGTGCGGCGTGGGTCTGATTTTCTGAGCAGTCAGGGGCTGGATGATACAACTCAGAGTTCAGGAGGGTCTACTCCCTGTGAGTTGGAACCTGACTGATGAGATACGGGAAATAGTAGGGAATAGGGCAATTTCCCTCTCCTTTATACCCTGTGGAGTGCTCTAGGATTCGATTTCCTCCCGAAGGTCTCCTGGAGACTTCCAGGTGCCTAGCCAACACCCCTGCCCAGAGGCTGCAGTCTCTTTATAGGTCATTGTGAAACAGTGGCCAGCATAGCAGCACATCACATCACTTTGTTTCTCGTATTTTCTTGCCTTTTTCTCCCTATTTCCTCACCTTCACCATTCTGGGCTTGGGCGTGCCAAATTGTATTGCAACTTGAAGGCACCCAAATAGTGTCTCAGGCTCTATCTTTTTGTAGAAAAGATTTCCTAAAAGAGAGCTATAGCAACAGTTCTCACTTTAGTGGAGAGCTGGTGTTTTCCCCTGGGCCCTAGGAGTCACTCTCCACTTTTCTCCACCTTGCTCTCTCCCCTGGGAGGTTGCTGAACTGTATCTACAGGACACCCACACCCTCTGGCTACCAGATAGGTCCAGCAAATAGGATGCCCCGGTAGGAGATTGGAGGGAGAAAGTATTTATTTTCCTGGTGCCTATGAGGTCACCTTGGCTGACTGTGTCCCTCAAGATGAAAGTCAGAGCTGGAGTTCTTCTCTATCTGACCTTCTTTTTGATTTCTGAGACCTGCTTCCTCCTCTCCTTTGGACCTAAGGAACCTAAGAGCTCCACACTGCTACCCCCAGGGTAGGGAGCTGCCTTGTGGCTCATGTCCACCCTGCCCACTCCTCTGTAATTTATCCCTTTATAAATAAATTATTCTAATTTGAATTATTCCAATTTGATAGTGCCATCTGCTTCCTGTTGGGCTGAGTAATGAGAAGGAATGGTTAAATGATATTGTTGTTTATCTGTGTTGGAATTGTGTGTGACCATTACAAATCACTTAATGTTCTCTAGCAAAAGAAAGTAATGCAGTATTTTTTTTTTTTTCCTAATCACTTAAGAAGTCAAGCAATCAGGGTTCTAGCAAAAACAAACAAACAAGACCAGTCAGAATTCCATCTCCTGTGTGGATGAAAAAAATCAAAAAGTAATCTATAATAGGAATAGAAATGATTTAAAAGAATATAAAAAGAGTTTTATTTGAGCCAAACTGAGGACTATCACCTGGAAGACAGCCTCTCAGCTCTGAGAAACTGCTCCAGAGACACATGATTGTCAACATAGTTTTATATCTTGTCAGAACCAAGAACATTAAATAAGTCAGGCATATATTTCTCTAGTGGCTCAGATAGTAAAGAATCTGCCTGTAATACAGGAGACTCAGTTTCAATCCCTGGGTTGGGAAGATCCCCTGGAAATTGGCATGGCAACCCACTCCAATATTTTTGCCTGGAGAATTCAATGGACAGAGGAGCCTGGCAGGCTACGGGCCATAGGTTTGTGGAGAGTCAGACACGACTGAAGCAACTTAGCATTGCTGCAAGCATACTCCTTCAAGGTTTCAGAAAAACAGGTCAGCATTCACACAGCAAGTCAGCATGGCCTTTGCACCGAGGAAGGGAGTCTTATGGAAGGAGAACCAGCATTGGTGTCCCAGGAAGGGAATCATTTGCTCTTTATTTTTAACATAGACATTCCTTACTTCTGGTCAGTGTGCCCTTTTCTTTAATAATTAAAGCAGGTGTAAAACAGGCTGTTTTAGTTAGCAGTTAAAATTCAAGTCAACTCATGTATTAGCTAGAATGACTTCTTCATACCTCAATATGTGAAATTTTCTTTTATCACCTGAAAGCGTCTTTAAAGAAGGAATCATTTATGAGAGAGCAGGCAGAGTAAAGGGAATCAATAGGGAATTGTGAAGTACCAGGAACAAGAAATGGCAGAAGACATCACCACCCCAAGTGTTGAAGGGGCATAAGGAAGAAACATCGTTGGAATACTGGTGCCTGATACGAGTCCACGTCTTGGAAAAGAAGCTGTCCCTGCAGACCTCCAGTCCTGCGGAATGCAGGTCCTGCCAGAGCCTTATCTGCAGCAGGCTGGCAGTAGAGAATGAAATGCCCTCCTCTTCCGCCCCTCCTGCCCACCGGCTTCCTCTCTCCAGCCGCTGGTCTGCAGCCAGTGCCTCCTATTGGCTGAGCCCAGTTGGAAACTAGAATGAATGGCGCATCAGAGTGGGCCTGCTTGGGCTCAGAGTGGGGCTGAGTGGGGCAGATGATGGTCTGGGTTGCTGGGAGGTGGGGAGGGCAACAGAAATTAACCAATACGATCAGGATATCAAACCCTTTGCAAATATAATCCTAATTTTGAGAAAAGTGATACATGTATTTATGTATAAGAGAATTCTGAACTATAAATTTAAAGTAGCTATCTCATGGTAGTAGAAGAATAATAAATGGTTTTTATTTTTTATAGTGCTTGGTATATCTCCCAAATTTTAAAAAAAATGTATTACTTTAAACTTTATCTTAGGAAAAATAAATGCTAATGAATGATGTGTTTAATTTTAACTTTTAAAGGAAACATTTCCTATCAGTGGCTCCTCATGCTAAGAACTTCACTTTCTGGAATTTCTCAGAAGATCTCACCTAGAGTAAGATCAAGGCCAATGAGAGGATGTTTGTGTTTGTTTCTCAAAGCACTAGCTTGTTTTCACACTATCCTGCCCAGTAACAAAAAAGCATAATCTGACGTGGGACAAAGGGCATCCCAGCCCTAGTCATATTAGTAGATGTAATCCACTAATTACTATTAACTTTGTTATGTAGCAGAGTTGGTCTATGACATTCAGTTTGTCTAAGAACCAAATCTGTGATCCTAGAGTTGAATGTACAATCACCAACTTCACATAAACACCTAGCTTCAAAATGCTTTCAAGTTAGTTAGACTATAAACTAACATCTCTGTTTTCAAAACAACTTGTATGCTTCTGATTTATTTTTCTACTGTTTCATGTCTCTCATGTCTGCATGTAAACCACAAATAAAGCACCATAGAGGAACTCAGGGGTATTATCAGCAGTCAGCAGCTACCCTGCTGTTTTCCATACCCAGATTCCTCTTCTATTCATAGCATTGTCCTCAGCCTCACATGGGGTCTGGGGTAAAGGCAGCTTTCCCCCAGAGAAATACTTCACATGTAGAGAATGAGATAGCGAATCCTTGGAATGTCACAGACCAGCTGTTGAAGGCAATTGTTCCTAACCACCACTGTCTCAGCCGCTCCTGTGGGCCAAGGCAGCAGTTGGGGGAGATAGAAGCAGCCAATGTTCTGTATAAACTCAGACACCCATGTAAGCTCGGGGCTCAGAACTTTCATTGCCTGCCAAGCTATTTAAAGCTAAGGATTATGCAGTGAGAACAGATGCAGTACATTTTGCCATCTTCTGAAATCTAACATTTTAAGTAACATTTAAAGAGCATAGTTTAAATTTTCTTGAATTCAGTCATTGTACTTTTCAAAGTGGTTTCCTAAACTTCATATTAATTTAAGTAGGACTTAATACATCTTAATATTTCATAAATATCCACAAAACATACACTGTGCTTTGAAAAACGCTGCAGCTAAGATTCAGCTTAGCTTTTTTTTTGTTTGTTTTAATGAGGTACATATTTGGGACTTTTAAAAATCAGATTTATATCTGAAAATTCCAGTATAAGTTTAAAACAGTAACAAATGTAGTGACTCATAAATATATTTCAGATCCAATTTTCCAGTACTATTTTTTAACCTTCAAATTCTATATTTACAAAGCTATGCTGTAATAAAATACACTGAAAAGAAAAGCTTATTAAGCAAAGGAGATCACAGCTCTTTTTAGCAATATAAAACACTTTCATAAAATGGATAAGAATTTCTTAAATTGGTGTGGCTCTTTTGCCATCAACTGTTACAAATGCCAGCTTCCCTGGCATTGTTGAAGTAAGGAAGAAATAATTCTGAGTCGTTTCTACTATCAGACTACAGTCTTCTAAACTGTCAATGTTTCAGGTGTTAAGAATAGCATTAACTTGAGCTGTAGGAACATATTTAACAACTTTCCTTTCGGAATAAAAATAACAAAGACAACCTCAACATACCAGGAACTATGTCTGTATTTTTAATCTTCATAAAAAATCATTTCAAACGTGGGTAATACACACATTCCCGTGATACCATGGTCTAAACTAGAATCTTCCTCTCGACGTTTGAACAGACACTAACCCGACACGATGTCACTTGGTCCCAGCTGAATCCTTTACTTCCACCACCAGAATTCCATCATGACAGAGGATCGCCGACAAATCTTTGGTTTCAATGCCGTCGGGCAGTTTATACTGTCGGGTGAAGCTTCTGGAGATAAAACCGTGCTCATCCATTCTGGTTCCATGTTGAGCTTTTATCAGCAGCCAGCCCTCGAAGGTCTGAATGATGATATCTTCGGGGAGGAATTGGACCACGTCCAGCAGGACCTGGAAGCGGGATTCGCCTCTCTGGGGCGGCATCTCAGCGGCGTCCACTGGAGGAGCCTGGGCCGCCCTGGCCTTCCCCAGGTCCACCGTGGTTGGCCCGGGCAGTGCATATAAAGCGTGATCCAGCCTGCAGTCTTCCAGACCTCGAGCTTCGAACTCCTGCTCGTATCGCACTGGAGTCTCGATGAGGTGCCTCAGTATGATTTTTGCCATAGCGGAGGCAAAGCCAGCATCCAGCAGCGTCCTCCCGGTCCGATGTCCGTGTGGAGCTTCGCCGCTGCCGTCCGACTAGATTATCAGGGGAGAGCTGCTCTTCACTTATAACCCGGCGCAGACGCAACCCTTTAATTAGACCTGAATCACAGTGCCGCACGCTCGCTCTTGTCTTTTTGCTCCTGCTGACAATGAACGGCTATTTATAGGGTGTGTTTCGAAGTTGCTTTTAGCACACAGCCTGCTCGAGCTGCCGAGTCAAGGATTGCCCTTACATTCTCAGTTATCCTTGGCAAGTGTATCGGCCTCGCTTACCCAGAGAGAAAAAGAGAGTCAGAAACAGTATTTGAGAAATACCTGAGTGCTCTGTCTTTGTGAACTACAGTGACCTGAGGGATCAGAACAACCTAGAGATGAGCACTTATCTTGTATGAACTAAGTCTGCACTAATCCTAGTCTCCAGGCGCAAAGTCAGGGGGAGGTGACTTGAGCTTTAAATTGATTAGGAATCAATTACACACACACACACAGGCACATTAAAATCTCAAACATTCAACAAGCCCTCAGCCCTCTGTCCCATACATTTACTTTCATTTCATCCTTTAATCTTCTATCCTTAAGTGACATCTGAGCCAGGCCATCTGGGTTTATTAAATTTGACTCATGAAAAATGAGATCAAATGACTGAGCCAGACAGTGATGTCCAACCTCAGATGGGGTTGGAAAGGAATAGAACAGAGAATCTTAGCAAGGAAAATAGAGCTCCAGGGCAGAGAAAAAGTTAAAGCTTTTTAACTATTTGATACTAAAGTCCAGAAAACTAAGGATTAATCTAGTTGCAGCTCTGCTGTTGAAATGGCAAAAATAAATAACATACTTCTTAACTGTAACCCCCTTAACATTAAACATATTGAAAAGGAATGAGGTAACTATCCACTGCTATGGCAAGAGCTCCAAGACATGTTAAGTACAAAAGGAAAGTCCAGAACAGCATATAATGTGCTGTATTTGTCTTTTTTTTTAAGTAGGTATTTGCTTGTGAAATAGAATCTGAAAGTTATGTCATGGGGAACAGGAATTGCCTCCTGGGATGGTAGCAGAGTGATCAGAAGGCAGGGGCTAAAGGGAGACTTGCTTATCACTATAAACACATTTGTGCTTGTAACTTCTATAGTGTGTTTGTAATGAACATACACACAAGAGTGTTTAAAATATAGAAAACTTCCTCTCCATGGAGGTTAGTATTCTCTAGAATAGGTAGACTCCAGAATACCTTTCCCTAAAACACATGTCCATTTTCTTAGAATTTAAAATAAATCTAACTAGCTTTTAGTTTTAGTTTTCTATGGTAAAGAATCTGCCTGCAATGCCAGAGACCCAGGTTCAATCCCTGGGTTGGGAGAATCCTCTGGAGAAGGGAATGGCAACCTACTCTAGTATTCTTGCCTGGAGAATCCTATGGACAGGGGAGCCTGGTGGGCTATAGTTCATGGGATCACAAAAAGTCAGACATGACTGAGTGACTAACACTTTTACTTTCACTTAGGGAAGTCTTAAAAATTAAAAAACAAAATTTTTAATTTTTTTAAAACTTAAAAATTAGAAAACAGAAGGGAACAATTTCCTTTAGCTCTTTTATAATACCCTAAAACTCTGAGTGGATATTTTGGTATATAGTTTAAAATATGCCTTAATTATGTTTTTCACACACAGCTTTTTTGACTTGCATTTTACAGGTTGATGACCCTCAATGGAAAAATGTACTCTTTGAAATATTAATGTCTACTGGCTCACAAAATATTGAGAGATGTTTTCATTGATACTGCTCTGAGTGGTAAGTCAAAAACAGAACTCACTACNGCTGACTCATTTGAAAAGACCCTGATGCTGGGAAAGATTGAGGGCAGGAGGAGAAGGGGACAACAGAGGATGAGATGGTTGGATAGCATCACTGATTCGATGGATGTGAATTTGGGTAGACTCCGGGAGTTGGTGATGGACAGGGAGGCCTGGCGTGCTGCAGTTCATGGGGTCACAAAGAGTTGGACACGACTGAGCGACTGAACTGAACTGATAATCACGTGTATCCACCAAAATAGTATTATACAGAGTTGTTTCACTGCCCTAAAAATCCTTTGTGCTCCATCTGTTCGCCTCCCCTTCTCCCAAGCTTTGCTCTGAAAAACTGCTGTAAAAAATAAGCCTGTTTATTTGCTGTGCTGGGTCTTCATTGCCGCACCCCAGCTTTCTCTAGCTGTGGTGAGTGAGGGCTGCTCTTCATTGCAGTGCTAGGGCTTCTCTCAGAGGTGGCTTCTCTTTTGTGGAGCGTGGGCAGGCTCAGTAGTTGTGGCACATGGGCTCATTGCCCCATGGCATGTGTAACCTTCCTGGCCCGGGATCAAACCCATGTCCCCTGCATTGGCAGGTGGATTCCCAACCACAGGACCACCCGAGAAGTCCAAAAAAAAAGGAATGTCTATTTAAAAAACTAAAATTTCTCTAAAAAATAAATACCTTTTAGAAAGGTGCTGGTAGAGTGGACAGAGAAAAATATATCCAATTAGTCTTATGATTTCTTGCCTTTAAGGATCTCAAAAATAGGTGAGGAGGACTAGATATGAGTGATGTTTCCATGTTGCTTGTATGATTGAGTTGCTGAGGTTTAAACCGAGTATTAACATTTCTTGCGCAAACACCTAAGACTTCTACTTCTGCTATTTCCCCCAAACGGCCCTTTGACCCTAATCCTGCGCCTTCTATCCTCCTCTAGGCTTCTGTTCAACCACTTACCTCTTTCTTGATGTTCTCTAGTCTCTCACTGTCCACAGGCTCCTCTCCATCAGTGTAAAGTCAGTTGTACCCCACCTTTTTAAACCAAAATAAGACCTACTAGCCCTTATATCACCCCCTAGCTAATTATTCCCCTCGAAGCCCAGCTCCTTGAATTTTTAGCCTGTGTTCAATGATCACTCTTTGTGCTACTGCAAAATAACTCTGCCCTGGATTGATATCAAAATCAGCCTTGTTGCCAAATCTATACTTTAACCTTATCTTCCTTAATCTCTTGAGCATTTGAGATAAGCCTCTCATCAGGAAAGAATGTGAACTATTTTTGTCCTAGCCCTGTCAAGAGGACAAATAGAGTTTTCTCTTATCCTCTTCCATGCATTCTCAGTGGAGGTGATATCACCCTCAAGGGGGCAAAAATTGGTTCTTATGAAGCAAATCAATCCAACAAAAAATCCATGTTATCTAAAGATTATACCAAATCTTAGCTCTAAGGAATGGATTATGGTCTTCCAAAAGGCCCAGGTACATAAACAGACATAATGAATATCTGTGGAATTAAAATTTCATGGGGGAGAGGGAGGAGAAATCAGGTGGACAATGTCTTAAAGACTCCTGGGTGTGGAAGGCTGGAGCAATAATAAAGAAAAAATTGAGGATACAGTCCTAGTCGTCTTCATGCTCATCCAGAACCCAATGGCATCAGGGGCTCTTTGGGGGAATTTCAGTACCAACAGGCTTAGGGTCTGAGAAGTTTCCCTAGAAAGAGTAATCTCATGGCCTGAACAAGAAGATGATAGAGTGGGATAAAAGGAGCTTTGGGAATTCAAGTGTTCCTGGCAACAGAATGACATGTTCCAGGGCCTGGAACCAGAAGAAAATCCTGTGATTGGAGATCAAAGGACACAGTGTGACCACAATGCAGGCCACAGAGTAGGAAGTGGGAGAGATGAGGCTAGAGAGGTGGGGAGCAGGGACCAGATCAGAAGAGACTTGTATGTTATTTTTGTTTTCAAGTATCTACCAGTTGCTCTAAGGGTGATTACCAAAATTCTTGTTTTAGAGTAAACACTAATCTTTTTCTTCATAGTCAAAAGGCCCACTGAGGATTTTTTTTCCAAATTAAGGTTTAGATTCTATTCTGAAATGTAGGAGTTAACTTCACAAAGACCCAAATCAGTGCCTTTTTCACTTTTCTGATTATACCCACAATAAGAAACATATCATCACCAGTGAACACACATATACACATGTGTGTGCATGCTCAGTCATGTCCAACTCTTTGTGACCTCCTGGACTGTAGCTCGCCAGGCTCCTCTGTCCTTGGGATTCTCCAGGCAAGAACACTTGAGTGGGTTGCCATTTCCTCCTCCAGGGGATATCTTGCTGACCCAGGGATCAAACCCACATCTTCTGAAGCTCCTGCATTAGCAGGCAGATTCTTTACCACTGAGCTACCTGGGAAGCTCACATATACCCATACTGGGTACAAAACATTTAGCTTTACTACATATAATGCNGGACGTTCATGGTTCACGTATTGCTGAAGCCTGGTTTGGAGAATTTTGAGCATTACTTTACTAGCATGTGAGCCTTGCAACTCACTAATTGATTTTATAGCCACAGTTTGGAAAGCACTTAGTTAACTTTTTATATTATTAAGCAAGGTAGTTCATCACCCTTGTAGGGTGAATTATCCCTCTGTAGGGAGACTGTGATGGTCTCCACTGGTTTTTCTTCTGTGGCTGCAGAGAGATGTTGAGTGGGTAAGGAAGCAAGAGATGTAGCCAGATGGCATGGCTTGTGTCAAGTGCTGAAAGGTTAAGGACGGTAAGGATGGAAGCTCAGACTTAGCAGTGAGGGTGTCTTTGATTTAATGAGGGAGAGGCAAAATCGGGCAAAGGTTGAATTGCAGTTGTTTGGGGAGTGCATATTGCAGTTTCAAGGAGTTGGGTTGGGAGGAGATGGGACACATTCACCAGAGGCTGACATAAAGTCTGGAAGGCTTGTTTTGTTTTAATAAAATTTTCTTAAGAAAAGTGACCATTAGTCTGATGGAAAGGAGAGAACTGGTTAGCAAGGGGCCCTGATGGGCCACAGTTGATGGAGTTTGAGACCTGAAGGGCCAATATCCTAAATATTCCTTTTAAACAAAGTAATTTTCTTATGCCATCCTCAAATCACGAGTAAGGTTTTTGTTCAGTGTTTCAGCCTGGTGTCAGATAGGCTTTGAGAGAATTAAGGCAGAGATTGTACCAGGCTTTGGGGAAACCAGTGCAAAGGGCCTCTGCTATCCGAGGAAGCAGTAATGAGACAGAAGCGGATGATATCAGCAGTCTGGAAAGAGATAAAAGTGACAGCCAAGTTAGAACATAGACACATGCCTGAAGGAACCCTAAAAATAATTGAATGATAAGTTGATTGGACCTTGCTGCAATCTTAGAGGCTGGAATCAGCTCTGGAATGTTGGCCTTATGGCCATGAAGGAATTTACATTTTAGATAGAAGCCATAATAAGCATGGATACATTTTAACAGGGTTTGAAAGGACGGATCAGGAGTGAGCCCCTACTG